GGTCGCTCTGCGCGACTCATAAGTGGTGGTGCGTTGGGGGGGGGGGGGGGGGCTAGCAGTAAAATCTGCTTTTCTAGCCTTCTGCCTTTCTAACTCTGGCGTGCAAAGATTTTCATAGCTCTTACATCCCCTTGCTCTCTTTGAATGAGCAGTGGCTGCCAACTTAGAGGCTTCGAACACAAAGCTCTGAAGGAGCTGCTTTCATCAGATAAGGTTAGGTGTGTGTGAGGGGTTTATAATGCAACTTCCCTTAATGCAAAATTCAGCTGCACTTTACGAGTGTTTTTTCATCCCTGGGGGGAAGAGAGAGATGCAGATTTTATTTTGGAAGAAAATTTTTTCTGCTTCTCATATCACTGTCAGTTATCCCTTTCTGAGACAACAGTAAAACAAAAGCATGCCTTGTTCTCAGACGGTGCTATTTGCCCAGTGTTTCCACAGTTTTTTTTTCAATGAGCTTGTGGAATATAATTTTCACTTATGTTTCTCTTCATTCTTTAAAAGAAACTGAATAATTTTGTATTTCTGTTTAAACATATTGTGTTGAACACAGTTGTGATGTTTTCAAGCAAAGCCTAACACTCACCATAAGGGAGAAGTGCAGAAAATTATGTAGGTCCATCAGTACACCAAGAATGCATGTTCTCTGCCAGGAAGTAGCAGTGGTTCACATGAAGATTTAATTAGGGCTAGACAATGTCTTCAGATAAATGCCAGGTCTGAAAGAACAAAGATGTCAGAGAAGGTTTGGGGAGAGCTGAGAGAGGTAATACGAGGGATTTTCTCTTTTCTCCTTCACTTTATCTGGACAATGTCTGAAGCTAGACAGGCTTTTTATGTTAACTCTTGCTTAATGTGGGAAAGTAATGCTAGGATGAGCTCAGAGGATTTGTAATGGAGATGGATAGAGTCTCCTGCATCTAAAGTGCCAGTTTCAACGGCAGCCAGGTTCCTCATCGCTGAAAGCTACCTGATTTTTGGCAATGGGCTTATACGGTAGCCTCTTCTCGGTTTCCAGCGGTCGAGTAACAGAAACTGTATAAAAGACCACCGTGGCTACTAATTCCAAACCTCACTTAATTTTTCTTCAATACTTCGATTGACTCGTGGACACTGAACTGTCCTTATGTCTCTAGCAAGGTCCTCTCCTGAGCGGAGGGGGTGGTTTTTGACAGGGCTGGTGTGTGGAAGGCAGGCAGCTGCTACGCTGTGCCTAGGAGATTCCTGAAATTAAAATCCATTTTGCCCAACCCATATTGCTTTTCACCTGGAGCTTGCAGTGAAGGGGGGTAGGTAACAGCGCCATTTTCCATATAAACTAAAAGTCTCATCCAGGATTATGTGGCAGAATCCGTTACTTCTCAAAGGCTCTGTGGGCAAACGGTGCTTTTCAGCATTCCGCAGGACTTACAAGAAGTCTTCGTGGTCCCTTCACCCCTTCACAACGTCGGTTTTGTTGGTGGTCAGCGCTTCCTAGCAGGCCTCCTCAAGAAGATCCCTGGGCAGGGGTTGTGTGTGGAGGCTGACGTGCTGCTGGTGCTTTTAACCGGTGCTTGGTGCCCGGTGAATCCAGCAGCCGCCGGCGGTGCTGGATGTGGAGCCTGGGGGGGCACTGGAGCTTTCACTGACAGCTTGTGCTGCGCGGCTCTGGCCAGCTGAGGGGTGGTCGTGCCACCAGCCCTGGAGAAGGTCTTTGTGAACGCTGGCAAGAGTCTAGAGGGTGGGATTGGGTGCCAGGGGTTTCGTAGGCTGCCGAGTATGTTGGGGCTGACAAGATCCTTTGTGGCATTGAGTGTTGGCCCGGTTCTTACGACCGAACTGTTTATTTTTTCCAGCTAATACTGTAAATACGATAGTCTAGATCCTTAGAGGAGGACTATTTTGAAGAATACTCCTGACCAGTGAGGAGGAGAAGTACAGGAAGATGTGTCGTAAAACGGCAAAGACAGACTGCTTGCTATCTGGAGAGGGGCTGGCCTGGGGAAAAAGCTGCAATTTACAGTAGCGGGAATTTGCCTTGAGATTCAACATCCTGCCGTAAATTGCGTTTTTATCTTTCTTTGTTCAAGGGAGCCATCTTTAAAGTGTCACCACTCTATTCAAGGTTATTAGAACAAATACCCTTACCGTAGGTTAGCGAAAACATCTTAGGTGATTAAAGCTGATTGAATTACAAGAATGTGGAGTACTGGTGACTGTTTTTGCTCATTCTGCTTATTTGATATAGGCCATATGGCTTACACATGAGGACACAGTAAAACCAGTTACATTTTCTAGTAATTTTTTTTTTTTACTCTGGAGACTTTGCAAAGGCTTCAGGAGAGTGTTTATTTGTTTGAATCCAAACCAAGTCTTGCTGCTGGTCCCCCCGGCTCCCTCAGGTGCGAAGGGCTGAGTTGGGGCAGTGATGTGTGAAATGGGCTCCTCACAGGGTGTTGGATGGGAGCATCGAGGTCCGTTTTGGTAAGGGCTCTGCTCAGGGCTGTGTGTGCTGCTGAAGTCAGCCGTTCTTGCCGCAGCCTCAAGTCTGCTTGACTCGAAGCCAAAGACCTCCAGGGAGAGAGATCCAGCACCTGAGTTAAATGCACAGAGACCTGAAAGTTAATTTTTAACAATATAGTAGAAATTAAGGTGTCCTGCATAACTGGGGGTGGGGGTGTTGATCAAGCAATGCTGTTTTACATCCCTGGTCCCTGTTGATGAAGGGAGGTTTGAAGGAGGGGTGCTGGTCTGGACACTTGCCTTGGAGTCTGTTTTCGGAGGAGGCACAGTGCAGTGATTTAATACAGAGTATTGTTTAAGGAGGCTACAAAAACAAGGTTTCAGCAAAAGATACAGAGGCACTTTATGGAAGCAACAGTGAGGCAGACAGCTTTTCAATTGATTTTTATCAAAGCACTTGCAGTTTCCATTCAAGGCTGTTAAACTGATAATAAATATGGTGGACAGAGTCTGTTTCCAGAGCTGCCATTTTGTTCCCCCCTCTTTTTTTTAAAATGAAAAAATGCCTCAGCTTGGGGGGGTGTATAAACACCTTTTTATTTTCCTTTCCATAAGAAGCACCTAAGACCTTTCTTCAGGTTTCTTATATCTTAAAATTTTTATGAGTCTTCGAATAAAATGGTTCCTAAATAAATGAGTTGATGGTTACGTGCAGGAATAGAGAGAGGTATTACAGTGAGCAGCCCATGGTAATCCTGCAGGAGGAGTTAACCCAGGCTTTCTTGTCCACATACACAATTTGCCTAAGTTCCCTTCAGAGTAAACTTACTACTTTGCTGTGCTGTAAGTAGAACTTTTTTTTAAAGACAAACCTTTTCCCAATGCCAGAAGTCAGTGTTTAAAATGCACACCGTAATCTTAGGATCTGGTACCAATAAAATTACGTGTTTGCAGCATGCTGTTGGGGTCTGAATCATCTCTCTTTTCATTGATTGCATTATAATAAAATAAAAAGTCCTTTGCATTTACCCATAACCACTGAAGTATTGTGCCCTGTTCTAAGGGAAGCTTTTCTTAGTACAAGGTAGCAATAACTTTTCTTGCTGTCAGATGGCCACAGCATCAAAAAGATGTATTTTGTCTTTTCCTGCAGTGAAGAGTGCGCAAAAAGTGCTCTCCTCAGAGTTTAAGTACATTTATAGGTACTCCTGTAGCTGGTCAGTCATTTAAAATCCAGCCCCCCACTGTTCATACAGAATTGTGCTACTCAGGGAAAAAGAGAGTCTGATAAAATGCTTTTAGTTTTATAAGATTATTTGGATCTGCTTTCACTTCATGACAATGGATTATGTTGTAAGGAAAATCTCCATGAAATATGAAAATGGATATCTTTGCCTTTAAAGGAGCAAATAAATACTGAGTCATGAATCTGGCAACTTGGAGAAACTACATACATGTGTGAAGCTGGATAATTGGTATAATACCATTTAATACTAGGTTTCTGAGACTGGATTTATTTTATAGGCACAAAAGCAGATTGTAGTTCATGAAGGTATTATAGCATGTAATTTTGAGTAATGCATTTTTATCTCTTCCAGCACAGTACACTTAAATGTATATTCCATATGCTTCTAATATAAATCTATACATGAGAGGCTGCAGTGTGAGGACAGCTCGTTCCCAGTTTGATACTGCTCTGTTCACGTACTCGGCAGATTTTTTAAACTGCATATTTAAAATATGCTTGACTAAAGACACACAGTTAGAAAATCCCCCCAGACCCTTCCAACTGATTTCGTATTTCATCCAAAACAATTTTCACCAAAACAGTAGTACTGTGTGTTTTCCTTAGTTGAATTAAGAACAATTTTAAATTAATCAGACTTTCCTTTGATTTCGTAAACTATGTTGGGTTTATAATTA